AAAAAAAAAATTTTTTTGAAAAGGTGTTAAAGGTCTGTTTGAACATCTTCAACTGAATAATATACATCTTTTTACAACAATCATGGAAACACTACAGTACATAATTTTAAAAGTCCATGACTCAGTTTTATTTGAGTATAAACTTAATACTTTATCACCATGATCACAAGGAGAAAAGTAAATTAAAATTTCTTATCTGAGCTTTTAATTCAGAGGAAATGTATATTTCAACTTTTCTGACATGTGTTATCTGTGAAAGTTGCAGAAGTCCCACGAAAGTAGTATATTTTGGCGCAAATGAAAAACTGCATTTTTTTATAAATTGGTGCAAATGTGCAAATGCAATGTGCTCCGCTTTTATTAGTTCAAGAACTTGTGATTTGTTTTGTCTTGATTAATTTTTATGTATATTCTACCATGTCAAGCTCATATTTCAAAATTATTGGGATTTTAGTGTACTCCAATAATTATCTTTTGCTAATAGTCTTGGGGATTCAATTTTATCATTGAAATGTCTTTTATATATATATATATATATCATGTATATCATTGCCAAATTAAGAATATTTATATTTCTACTTTTGCATCCAATATTAACTATCCTTAGATTTTAAATCACAAAAAGGTTGGGTTTTTTTCTTACAAATTTTCTATTAATAGTAAAAGAATTTATCAAGTTGGCCTTGTTCTCATTATGAAATTTTGAACTAAAGAATTGACATAATTTGGTGTAATTCAATGTTATTGAAGCTTTAAGGGTTATTTAAGTATGTGTATTTAGTTTATTACATTTTCATGATTGTACAAAATGTATATTAGAATCTGATCATGACAAATGCATGAGAATATTATGTGTATTTTTCCACTTTAATATGACATACTTATTACTGATAGGATTTATTTTTTAAAGCACTTTATAACTACAGAGATCTAGGTTTCCTTTTCAGAATAATATAATCACACAATTTAACACTAATTATAAAATTCCCTTCACAGTCTTGTCAGTTTTTAATACTGTTTTTTAAGCAATGCAAGAAAACTAAATATTCCAGAGATTATTGAAATAATACAAGAAAAGATGGCTTTAAATCATATATAAAATGGTTTTTGGAAAAAGACAAACATATTACAGATTCCTTTGAGGTTTGTCATGTTTGTGAATTGAGTTACACATAATTTTTTTATATTTTTACATGTGTCCAATTTGGTCATTATTACATGTATTATCAAGTCTGAAAATAGTGTTGGTTATTCATTTGAAATGTCGTTACTGCTAGTCAGGTGTCTAGTTTTTTGTGCATCATTTAATACATTTAACTTTGTAATATGTATCTTTTATTGCCATTTAATTTGGTATACTTATTTCCTTTCCATTACAAAACATTTTACGTAATTTTATAATTTTGGTTTATAATATTGTGCAAAAAAACAGTAGAATAAAATAATATAAAATATTGCTTGTATTTAATTTAATTAGGAAACATGATTTGGCTTATTTCATTTACTTTGCATTCTAATATCATTAGTAAGAAATGTTTGAAAACTATACTATGCCAATACTGTGTTCACTAATATGTTGATTATAGTTGAATTAAAAATTGAAATCAATGGCTGTGTTTATTTTCCTTGATTTTTAGGGGAGACAATTCAAACAATAATACAGGCTTAAGTCTCAATTTTATACAACAACATTGCCAAATAAAATTTACTTATATAAGTAAAACAACATTAACAAATGTGTTTACTATGTAGGGAAGACAACTCTTACTCAATTTTTTTTTACTTGTATAGGTAAAAAAAAATTACTTGTATAAGTAAAAAATATACATGCAAACACATTATTTTTTTTTACTTATAGAAGTAAAAAAAATACACTTGTACAGTAGTACCCCTGACATTGTATATTTAAAGCTACAATAAAATTAAATGAGTTTAGTGATTTATTTGTACTACTTAAATAGGTGATTATTAAAGAAAGACAACTCTTACTTCCAACATTTGTGGACAAAATGTTACTCGAATCAGTGATTTAGAAATCATTCATTTAAGTAAGTCCCCTGACTGTTTATATCCCATCATATAAAAATAGTTTTCCAATGCGTTGGATAACCTTTCCATCCGCCTTCCAATTGAAAAAAAAAACTTTCCTTTCTTTATGATAGCTGCATGTATATATGTTGATCAACAAGTTTGAAATTGTATAGCCATTATTTAAGAATATAAAATGAAAAAAGAAACATAATATAATATATATGTATACAGATCTAGAGTCACTAACGATTATAGTAATTTGCTATACTGGGGGAAAAGAACAATATGATTATTGTTTACATAATAAAAGCTCAGGTCTAATATGAAAAGTCTTAAACAGGGCAATCTGTCATACACAGACCTGTCACGAGGTCTGGTCAGTAGCAGACCAGTCTACAGATCTGGTCTAGGGCAGACCTGTCCTTAGGACTAATCAATAGCAGACTTGTCCACAGGTCTGGTCTGGAGCATACTTGTCAATAGGTTTGCAGTAGTCCTAAAAAAGCAGACCTAGGTCTTGTATATTGACGAGGTTAACTTCCTTGTCTGCTTAAAATTTCTGAAGTTAACTTGGAAAGCAGTCATAAAGTCTACTCCAAGTTAACTTTTGTACAGGTTTGATAGGACTGCACCCATCTGTATTGGACTATGTTACAATATGATAAAATTTTGGTGCTTTGCTGTAGAAACAATAGATATGATATACCGGTAGTGTGCAATTTTTTGCCAAAATTTAATAAATTATGAATGAAAGAATCAGATCAGCAAGTCTTGCAACAAACACGTTTATTTTCATATTTAGAAAATGGAACACTCTCTCTAAATATTGACTATGTTGATGCAAATTATTTGAATATTAAAGTGGGTATATCTTAAGAATGATCAACATGATCAATACATTGAGGAAAATTGGTGATTTCAGGTTTTTGTCGAGCCTGCGACTTTTGTCGCAGAAAGCTCGACATAGGGATAGTGATCCGGCGGCGGCGGCGGCGGCGGCGTTAGCTAACTTCTTAAAAGCTTTATATTTTAGAAGGTAGAAGACCTGGATGCTTCATACTTTGTATATGGATGCCTCATGTTACGAAGTTTCCGTCAGTCACATGCCCAATGTCCTTGACCTCATTTTCATGGTTCAGTGACTACTTGAAAAAAAAGTTCAGATTTTTTGTAATGTTAAATTCTCTCTTATTATAAGTAATAGGATAACTATATTTGGTATGTGCGTACCTTGCAAGATCCTCATACCTGTCAGACAGTTTTCACTTGACCTCGACCTCATTTCATGGATCAGTGAACAAGGTTAAGTTTTGGTGGTCAAGTCCATATCTCAGATACTATAAGCAATAGGTCTAGTATATTCGGTGTATGGAAGGACTGTAAGGTGTACATGTCCAACTGGCAGGTGTCATCTGACCTTGACCTCATTTTCATGGTTCAGTGGTTATAGTTAAGTTTTTGTGTTTTGGTCCGTTTTTCTTATACTGTATGCAATAGGTCTACTACATTTGGTGTATGGAATGATTGTAAGGTGTACATGTCTAGCTGGCAGGTGTCATCTGACCTTGACCTCATTTTCATGGTTCAGTGGTTATAGTTAAGTTTTGTGTTTTGGTCCATTTTTCTTATACTTTATGCAATAGGTCTACTACATTTGGTGTATGGAATGATTGTAAGGTGTACATGACTAGCTGGCAGGTGTCATCTGACCTTGACCTCATTTTCATGGTTCAGTGGTTATAGTTAAGTTTTTGTGTTTTGGTCTGTTTTTCTTATACTTTATGCAATAGGACTACTATATTTGGAGTATGGAAATATTCTATGATGTACATGTCAGTCTCGCAGGTTTTATTTGACCTTGACCTCATTTTCACGGTTCATTGCTCAGTGTTAAGTTTATGTGTTTCAGTCTGTTTTTCTTAAACTATAAGCAATAGGTCAGCTATATTTGTTGTATGGAAGGATTGTAAGCTGTTCATGTCTGCCTGGCATGGTTCATCTGACCTTGACCTCATTTTCACGATTCATTGGTCAATGTTAAGTTTTCTTGGTTAAGTCTGTTTCTTAGAAACTATAAGCAATAGGTCAACTATATTTAGTGTATTGAATGATTGTAAGGTGTACATGTATTTCTCGTTTGATTTATATGACCTTGACTTCATTTTCTTGGATCATGTTAAGTTTATGTAATAGTTGTAGTAAAGCTTTCATTTAGGACTATCAACATAATATCAATGGTTAGTAAAGAAGGCGAGACATTTCAGCGTGTGCACTCTTGTTTTATTAAGGAAATGGGATAGGGGAAATTGTTTGGGAGACTTAGTGTTGGAATTCCAACACACGTACTACTACTTTTCTTTGAAATGCCAAATTTTACTATTTTTACTGTTATTGGCTTAATTGTTTCTTGAAACCTGTAAATGTCTCCAGTATTTAGAGTTATATCAAAGTTTCCTTTAAAGAGTCACTGCCATTGAACAATCAAATAAAGGTTTCTGGTGTTTTGAGGCTCCCTGAAGCCTCAAGTTTGTTGTAGCATACATATACGTATCGTTGATTAAGCTTTAAAAAATAAAATAGCAAATAGATATAAGAAGATGTGGTATGAGTGCCAATGAGACAACTCTCCATCCAAGTCAAAATTTATAAAAGTAAACCATTATAGGTCAAAGTACGGTCTTCAACAAGGAGCCTTGGCTCACACCGAACAGCAAGCTATAAAGGGCCCCAAAAAATACTAGTGTAAAACCATTCAAACGGGAAAACCAACGGTCAAAATCTATATAAAAAACAAGAAACGAGAAACACGTATGAACCACATCAACAAACGACAACTACCATGACTATTGAACATCAGATTCCTGACTTAAGACAGGTGCAAACAATTGCTGCAGGTTTAAACGTTTTCATAGTACCAAACCTTTATACATGTATATATAATAATATGATAAAATGCTATTTAATTTCAGGGATGGATGGCATCATACAGCCAGAGAGCTTTGTGTGCAAGATTATTGATTCCTGGTGAAGAGAAGAAACACAGCATTTCAATACCAAAAATCTTACGAGTTAAATTTATAACTTGTGATGAAAAGTCCTATCAGGCTCCAGGGTACCCTTGGCTAGGTCCTGCAACACCACCAATGACAATTGATCACTTCAATAGATTTTTGAGTTTGAATATAGAAACATTTGACCATTCTAATATAAAAAGTGATAACTGGAATGGTATCTTAAAATTGATAGAGATATCTAAGTATCACTATGAATGCTTAGGTAAAGTGGACCGATGGATAACTAAACCAACTTTAAGTGAGGAAGAACTAGACGAGGAAATCGACAAGGCTTCAGTAGGTGAGAAAAATATCAGCACTATCATTGGCACATTGCTATAACAGGGGGCATCAAATTTTAGAATTTATGTCAGTTAATCATGTTAGTCCAAAGGTATATGATATACATGCTAATTGGTAAAAAGTCTACTCCAAACATCATTGTACAGCTGGTCAGGAGCATAAAAATTTTGAAGGAGTAAGAGTCTTTGAACCAAGGATTTTGGTGAGGTTTTGTTTGCCCAATGTGGGGGGGCTAGCTATAGGGGTATATGAGCGTGCTCACAAATGTTCTTTCATTAATTAAAGATAGTTACTTTTTTGGGGTTGGCATTTTTAATGTAATAAAGGAGGCCCAAGTTGAGGAAAAATTGGAAATTGTTTATTTTTTTATAAGTTTATTAAGTTGGACACTATTAAAAAACAGTATTCTGCTAAAAAATGATGCTTAAATACTGACTCCATTTTTTAGTCTGAAAGACATTTAGTGGTGTTGAAAAGATCACTTTTCCAATATCCTTCATGGTGTCCGAACATGTGTCAATTTCAGCCAGGGTTTGACATGTTGTCATATCAAGCTGCTCTAAGCGGAACTAGTTTAACCTGAGTCAAAGGAGACACAAAAATTTCTTAACACTCAAAATGCAAACAAATTCTGTATTCCCCCCCTGCCTTTCAAAAATGTAGGGGGGGCTATACAATTCAGCTTTTTGTCCTTCCATACATAGATAGTTTCTGCCACCTACGTTTAGTTTGCCTCGATGGATTGTTATTGTACCCACAGAAGCTCAGGTTACAAGGAAAACACATATTGATTTTTGAGATCAAAGATTAAGGTCACCATATTGAAATTGTATTTTAGCGAAGCAAGGGATCTTGAGCACTGTTCTTTTTTAGACTCCAAATAAAGTCTTTAGACTAATGTATAAATGATATAATATAGTGTTCGGGCTAGACGAGTAATCAAGATAATATTTGGCACAGACAGTTCTATATATATATTGTTTTATTGTTGCAGAACAAGGTCGTTATGTAGCATCATTTGGAGCTGCCTTGAAAGGTGATATGAAAAATGGACTAGGTAAACTATGGATGACACATTTGATTGATTATCTTCTCCATATTATTGATAATGTAAAAGTCTCGGAGGTGCTATGTTGTCCACCCTCTAACAGTTGCAATCCAGAAGTTGAACTTATTTATGGAGATGAAGATGAACATATTACCAAAATGCAGTACACTGCGGCACATTCAAGTACCCCTGTAGGTACATTTAATCTTGTGTCCTTACATGAAAGAATTTCTCCAAACCCATATTCAGAAGAGTCATCTGTAACATCTGAGGGCAGTTGTTCTAACGTTAAAAAAGGAACAGCTGTTCCAGAATTTTGTGCAGCACTTAAAAATTTCCCGGGTGTTTTCCCATTAGTGGTGGAATTGAAACCAGCAAGACAGGAAACTCAAGGAATTTTTCCAAATGTACAACAGATGTTGTCAAAGCTTTTCTTTCAAGATGTTGTATTTGGTATGGTTATTTCACCAAGATCATTTCAAATGTCTGTCATTTTAAAGAAGGAGGGAAGTCTACGATTTGCAAGTACAAACTCTGTTTCCTTGATGAACCCATTGAAAGATAACGAGCTCGATATAACAAATTTGAATTTGATGCACACTTTCGTGTATCAAGTATTAAAGTGGTCAACAGAAACCCAGTGTTCTTTGCAGAAAGAGAAAGATGATTAAGAGGCTTTATCAGGAATCTCAAGAAGGCTATGTTCTCCTGCTTTGTGAAAAATTCCTTAAGTCAAGTCATTATTGCAAAAAAACAAGAGCCTGCATGGCCTGACATAAAAATAACTGCAACAGAAGAAATAATATGTTTTTGTGTCAGGATATATTCACCAGGAAAAAATCCCAATTAAATGGATGCAGGCAGATAAAATTTTAACCAAAAGAAATTTCATGTGGGAGTTTTTTTGAATAAAGAAGATAACACTGTAAAAACTACTTGATATTTGGCAGTAAGCAAAACAAAACAATAATCACCGTTTTTCCTGTAGAAAATACATTGAAATGTGTTGTCAAAATATATGTTCAGCATAATTATAGAGCATGAAGAGTTAAAGCTATAATTTTAACAGAGTTTTGATCTTTTTATTAAAGTAATGAATCAGATTTTTTCTTTGTATATATATATATATACATATAATCACTCAATTAGGTTGTGTAAATGTCATTCCTTTGAAATTCACACATAGTTTATCAATTAATATGCACAGGACATTATCAATTAAATGACTTATTTCTTTCAAATTATCTTGGCCTTGCATTTAAAACCAGTAAATGTCTCGGACATGAATGCCTCTCGAATATTTACAACTGCACATGCTGGTATTAGCTCACCTGGCCCTTCGCAAGTGAGCTTTTCTCATCAATTGGTCGTCGTCTGTCTTCGGTAAACCTTTACAAAAATCTTCTCCTCTGAAACTACAGAACCAAATTTATTCAAACTTGGCCACAATCATAATTTGGGTATTTAGTTTTAAAAATTTGTCCGATGACCACGCCTGCCAAATTGCCAACCAAGATGATTGACATGGCTAAAAATAGAACATAGGGGTAAAATGCAAGTTTTGTCTTTTATTTGAAAACCATGATAAATAGAGAAAATTTGACATCCGCAAAAATGTTCAGAATGTTGAACTGTACCAATTGTTCTAATACGTCAAAACTGTCAGACTACTTCTTATAGGAGTTATTGCCCTTAAATGACAAATTTTACCTTTTTTTAATTTTTGCCTTTCATCTTAAAACCTATAAAAGATAGGGAGAAACTTTAAAATGCGAAAAAGATCAGCAAATCAATTTCTACAAGTAAGTGCATAGTCGAAATCGTCAGTCAACTCCTTATTAGAGTTATTGACCTTTGATGACGATTTTTACTAATTTTTTGCGTTTTTGATAGATTCAGCACGACAAGATCTACAATTTAGACGATATGGTGGATATCGTCCTGCGATTCCTTATTGGAGTTATTGCCCTTTAATGGCGAATGTACCATTTTTTTGCGTTTTGCCTAATATGATAAAAATTATAATAGATAAATAGAAACTTTAAATCATAAAAATGATCAGCAGGGCAAGATCTACTTACAGGTTAAATTTTGCCGATATAGTTATTAGACTTTATAGGAGTAATTGCCCTTAAATGAGGATTTGTTTACCCTCTTTCGTGTTTTGAGCAAAAACTAAAGAAGATAGAGAGAAACTAAACAGACTGAAAGATCAGCAATCCAAGATCAACAAAACAGAGATTTTTGTCATAAATTCTATTCTTGTTTTCAATCATGACAATGTTGGAGAGTGTCCTTTGTTGAATATGCACATAGACCAAGGTGAGCGACACAGGCTCTTTAGAGCCTCTAGTTTCCAAGAATATGTCAGAACAAGTAAGTAAATCTTAATACATGTTATAATCTGAAACGTATAAGATGATAACAGATTATTTAGTATACAAAGCGATACTCAAAAGGTTGAATAAGTAATATAATCATAACTAATCACCTGTCAAGTGTGCTGAAAGAAGATCTCTGATGACTTCATATTTTCATACACATTATGATATATTTGTTTATTCAGATTCAATAATTCTGCTTGTCTTGAGTTTATGAGACGTATTATGGTATACAGTTGTCGTTTGTCCATCCGTCCGTCTGTTTGTTGTCAACATGTTGGATAATAACTCAAAAATGCTTTAACCAATTTGCATGAAACTTTGGTGAATTGCTTATGTCTATTGACGTCAGCACCTTTTGGATTTTTATAAATTTTACATTTTCGAGTTATGGGGTATTATTCATAAGAAAAGGGGAATTTTCCGGTTTTCGGACAATAACTCAAAAATCCTTTAAGCAGATTGCATGAAACTTTAGTTGATTGTTTATATCAATTGACATGAGCTCCCTTTCGATTTTTACGAATTTTAGATTTTACGTTTCCGAGTTATGGGGTTTCATTCATTAAAAAAAGGATGATTTTCCAGTTTTCAGACAATAACTCAAAAATGCTTTGAGCAGTTTTCATGAAACTTTGGTGGCTGGTTATTATCTATTACAATAACCTCCCTTTAGTTTTTTTTATAAATTTCTGATATGACATTGAGGAGTTGTGGAACATTATTCTTTGCAAAAGCGACGTGTGTAACACGCGCTCATGGCACAGCTCTATTTATTTTGGCATTTTCTTTCTCAGCTTGGTTTTGATATATTTAAGTCTGCCAAACGATGTTTTGGGAGACTTATTGTTTTTGCTCAGTTCTTATTATTACTATTATTATCATTCCTCGTCCCTCGTCCTCTTCCGCCGCTTTAAAATTTGAACTTGTCTGCATTCGTTCTCCAAAACCGCTAGTCAGATTAACTTAGGGTTCCACAATATGTTAGACTAACATGTCTAGTGGTGCAATCAGGGTTTTGTTTGTGTAATGGGGTTTATAAAGGGGTACTTTGAGGATCAAAAAGGAAGAAGGGGTTTACTATAGAACCCTATTGGATTTTATTTTTTTAAATTTTCAAATGATTTCAACTTGAAAACAGTTTAATAGTGATAGACACAATCTTTATAATTGAAAATGTTCTAAATGATAAAGCACATTAAATGAAATAAAAGGTTAGTCCCCAGGGGTCACCACCATCCCCTGCCATTTGAGAAAGTTCCAATATCTTGTAAATGGTCAAGATCCCCACCCCTAAACCATATATATTCCTGTTCGTCATGTCAAAGATTTTAATGATATATAGGGTCCGTCCCCAAGGGTTTCCCCCACACCCAATGTTCTAATATCTTGTAAATGGTCGAGATCCCCACCCCTAAACCATGTATATTCTGATTTTTCATGCCAAGATGATTTGAATGGTATACAGGGTAAGACCCAAGGGGTCATCCCCACCCCCTGTCATTTGAATTTGTTTAAATTTTGTAAATGTTCAAGAGATCCACCCTAAACCATATATATTCCTGTTCATCATTTCACGAAGATTTAAATGATATGTACGGTCAGTCAACAGGCGTCACTAATGCATATCACTTAACTGTACCAAACCAACTTTTACTGGACTTTGCCCAATGTTCGGCGACCTTGAGAATGACGAATTATGGGAGACTTCGTGACAGCATCCTGTTACAATCATTTCTTGTTTAATTATGTTTCTGATTGAAATTGTAATACTAGTATTTAAAAACCCGTTTGAACTAAAATTGATATTTAATGAATGTTATTAGTTACCTTTGCTGATGTATTGATAAAATAAGTCTCCCAAACATAGTTTGGAGACATTGGTTTTGCTCAGTTTCCTCTTCCTCTTCCAGCGCTTTTAAATTTAAACTTGTCCGCACCCGTTCCCCAAAACCGCTTGTCTGATTAACTTAGGATTCCCCAATATGTTAGAATAACATGTCAATCGGTCCAATCAAGGTTTTGTTTGTGCAATGGGGTTTATAAAGGGGTACTTTGAGGGGCACAAATAAAGGAGGGGTTTACTGTAGAACCTTATGGGATGTTTTTTTTTATTTTCAAATGATTATAACTTGAGGACAGTTAATGATAGACACGATCTTTATATTTGAAAATGTTCCACATGATAAAGCACATCAAATGAAATATAGGGTCAGTACCCAGGGGTTCTTCCAACCCCAATGTTCATATATCTTTGTAAATGGTTGAGATCCCCACCCTAAACCATATATATTCTGGTCTATAATGGCAATATGATTTGATTATATACCACCTCTGTCATTTGAATATGATCAACGATCTTGTAAATGGTAAAGTTCCCCACCCCTAAACCATATATATTCCTGGATGTCATGTCAGGATGATTTGAATGGTATATAGGGTTAGTCCGCAAGGGTTCCTCCATCCCTATTGATCTAATAACTTGTAAATTGTCGAGATTCCCACCCATAAACCATATATATTCCTATTAGTCATATCACGAAGATTTGAACGATATATAGGGTCAGTTCCAAGGTGCCGCTAATGAATATCACTTTACTGGACCAAACCAATTTTTACTGGACTTAGCCCAATTTTCGGCGACCTTGGGAATGTCTTATTATGGGAACTTTGTTTAGGAGACTTTGTCACAGCATCCTGTTACAATCATTTCTTGTTATCATCTACTTGACTCTAAACAAAGTCATTTAAAAAGACCTCAATGATTTATCTGTGTCCTGCAAATCCCTGATAGTCTGTTATGCAGTCAATGTCCCAATCATCTAATTTATCTGAAACCGGACAAACTTCCTTGCAACAAATGCAGTCATCAGCAGTGGACAAAACAAACGTTACAGTGCAGTTGTTTCAATCACATAGAAAATGTAAAGTTTAGAAAGACTTTTGTAAAGTTAAGAAAAACTTTTGTTTTCAACCGACCCTCATTGTCAATTTCTAGATGTAAGTCAAGATATGAGGCAGATTTAACTGTATCCTTTTTGTCAAGTTCGATGGGATAGATGCGTTCAATATAGTCACCAAATTTTGAATTATTTAGGGAGAGAACATCTTCTATGTAGCGGAAAGTAAAGTTAAACATGTTAAAGGATACTGCTTACTTCAATGTATATCATCGTTTGACGTTCAATAACGAGTGAAAACCATAACGTTTACTAGCTTTGATTTAAGGTACAAAAATGAACGAAACACAAATTTGACAGATGCAAACAAGCAATAACCACTCTTTTGATGCATTTGTAACATGTCTGATTGCGCCCAATAAACTCAACCTACCATCGTCCCATCTGAATCCGTTTGCTCATAATGATGTACATGTCAGTGGTGTGACAACACAGCATTTGAACAATTCCATTTTACGGTCATTACAGATAGACGCCCACATCATAACACTACCTCCGCTAAGTTGTATACTTAAGAGTAAAACAAAATCATCTCATGACATAAAAACAATATTAAGGCTTGATACATGTTCATTATGTTTGAGTTCGTCATTACCCAAATTTCATAATCATGCAATGAAAATACAGTCACGTTTGTCTGTGTATTATTAATATTTATGCAAAATAATGTACAATCTTGGTTTTTAAAATATGCATGTGCATATACATGGTATGTCTCTGACATGTCTGAATTGATTTTAAATTAGATTTGTATCTCAAAAC